ACTGATATGGGAATTCTCTTGTATTTGCAACAAGATTATTGTGTGGCGTGATATGGCATGGCTCTTGCTGTATCATAAAGGTCAACGTACCTGTTTGTCTAAATTTGGCACATCATAGAATTCCCGAATAGAATGGGAGAATACCTTGCCCAAAGCAAATTTTTAATGTGTAAACCAGGGACACAGTACTACTGTTTTCTGGCAAGCAAACAGCAGACATACAACATAGATGTAACTTTGCTGAGAATCTTGTATTCTCATCATAAAAACTGAGGGAAATAACATACATGCACAACACAGACATCATCCACTCAACTAGCTCATACAGCAAGTGTGGAAAATTAATGCTTAAAGGTCTTACTGCCAGTAGGTAACCTTTAGGAGAGGGTTTTCAACCTTTTGGAAAGGGGAAAGGTCTTTAGGAAGACTGGGAAACCACTGAATCATGTTGTAATAAAGAAGGGGGCGTGGCTATCTGGGGAACACTGGAAGGTTGACTTAAGACAGGAGTTAACGTTCTGCCCAGGACTTGACATTTGCCACCTCTCTCGTAGAGCAGTTACCATGCCTGAGTTGCCTGTCTTCCCAGAAACGTAGCTGTGTATATCCAGGTGGAGCCATGGCTGTGTAGAAAGCAGTAGCCAGAAGGATAAGAGGTCCAAATTCAAGCTCTCGATAAGACAAAGTATCATATTAGCTAATCAAATAAAGTATTGGGTAGTTCAGCTTACTGGCTGCCTACTGCAAATTTCACTTCAGTTACCATGCCTGAGTTGCCTGTCTTCCCAGAAACGTAGCTGTGTATATCCAGGTGGAGCCATGGCTGTGTAGAAAGCAGTAGCCAGAAGGATAAGAGGTCCAAATTCAAGCTCTCGATAAGACAAAGTATCATATTAGCTAATCAAATAAAGTATTGGGTAGTTCAGCTTACTGGCTGCCTACTGCAAATTTCACTTCACACCAAGCACGGTCCAAATTCAAGCTCTCGATACCATCTCCCAAAAGACAAAGTATCATACTAGCTAATCAAATAAAGTATTGGGTCATTCAGCCTACTGGCTGCCTACTGCAAATTTCACTTCACACCAAGCATTGAGGATGCACTTTATTTGTTTGTCTTTGAGTTGTAACTCCCAGAATTCCCTGGGCAGAATTTTGGGAGGTGCAGTTCAGAAATACAAGTTTATAGACCAAATATATTTACCTCCATTAATGCTGACTTCAGCTTTTTTTTTTCTGATTTCAAAAACAAGTAGACTGACCCAGTGCTACCTGGGAATCCTAGGTCCTCTTGGGATGTATACTTTGGGAGGTGCCCATTCTGTAGTGCCTAATGGGCAGTGGCAGTACACCTCTCAAGAAGACCTAGGACTCCCATGTTGCATTAGGGTGTTTCCTTATTTCTGAAAGCAGAAACAGTTGTAAGAGCACCCATGCAGGTAAATATGCTAGCTTTATAGATTGAATTTATGGGGTACACCTCCCAGAATTTTGCCTGGGAGGTGTGCCTTCTTGTTGAATTCTGTGAGATGCAGTCCAAAAATTAAAAATGGCAGTCTCATACCTACCATCCATCCTATCTAGTGCCATTTCAACCCCAGTGATTTGCTTGGTTACATAGGTCTGGTGCTTATTGACTCCATCTCTTTCACCAAATGGCTTCCTTCTCCATCAGCATAGTAACTATACGCAAGTTCTTGAGATTATGCATATCTGTGAATTGAGATTGGAGGACATGGTCTGGCCCATCAGCTAATAATGCTCATACCAGGGGGGAAAAAAACTTTCAGTAAATGATCACATGTTTTGAGCTCCATCTCCAAGAACATTATTCCCTTCTTTTCTGGTTTGTAAATTTATATGAAAATCCTTTTTATTCCAGCAAGCTTTCTGAAAAAATATATTGCTGTATCACTGTGTTTTTAATCTTATGGTATTCTATAGATTATCTTTATTGAAATGTCCCAAATCTTGTAAAATGTTTTATGACAAGCTTGACCCTGAAGGTGAATATAAAGAGTAGGATAACTTAATTTGTTGTTGTTTAGCCGTTAAGCCGTGTCCGACTCTTTGTGACCCCATGGACCAGTGAATGCCAGGCCCTCCTGTCTTCCACTGCCTCCTGGAGTTGGGTCAAATTCCTGTTGGTAGTTTTGATGACACTGTCCAACCATCTCGTCCTCTGTCGTCCCCTTCTCCTCTTGCCTTCACACTTTCCCAACATCAGGGTCTTTTCCAGGGAGTCTTCTCATGAGATGGCCAAAGTATTGGAGCCTCAGCTTCAGGATCTGTCCTTCCAGTGAGCACTCAGGGTTGATTTCCTTCAAAATGGATAGGTTTCTTCTCTTTGCAGTCCAGGGGACTCTCAAGAGTTGCCTCCAGCACACAATTCAAATAACGTAATAAACAATTCAAATAATGCTGTAAGTTACATTCAGTGAAAAAGTGTGATCAATTTATACTTTAAGATATGAAATGTTCCAGTGTGGAAAACCCTTTTAATTCATTTCCAAAGGAAATAAATTAAGAGATACATAAACATTTTGCTTACAGTTGATATAATATTTGTTGATCTTGATGACCATGACTTTTATAAAGGAGTTCAGGAGTGATAGTTGCTTCTGTTGGTTATCATGCGTATTTGCTTTATTCATAGCATAGAATTATAATGCTTTTATTACCTCCTAATGCACAACTGAAAACTTTGATCCAGAGATTCTTCCATGCTGCTGTACTAAGCACTGCAGAGGTGTGTGTGTGTGTGTGTGTGTGTGCTGCTGTACTAAGTACTGCAGAGGGGTGTGTGTGTGTGTGTGTCCATGCTCATTCTCCTCTTTGTATGTGTGTGTGTGTGTGTGTATGCTCATTCTCCTGTTTACTGTGTTTGATAGGCTTCCCTAAAGGTCTCCTCCCCTTGTACCAGTTTGTGTGTGGTATGCCATCCAGGAATTAAATCCAAGTGTGGAAACCTATTTCTTGGAGGATGAGGGTATAATATTGACGTTAGCAGAGAAAGAGAGAAATGTCTGTCTGAGATTCTAGGCTCCCACAGAAATGTAAGACTTACAATATATCTGGAAAAGGATGAAAAAAGAAAAAAGAATAAGCACTAAAATTAAAATGCTTGTGTAGAAATGCTTGACTAATTTTATTTTAGATTTCTCATTCTATCTATCCCTTAGGCTCAGGCTTAGTAACAATTTAAAAATGTAAAACTTAACATAATTTAAATTTAAAGCTCTTCTCTCTCCTGAATACTCTGGGCAGGCAACAATAATTTAAAACAGACGTGGTATTTTTTAAAGCAGATTTTGAAAAAACATAAGAAATGTTAAAACTGTCCCTCTTTCCTTTTTTAAAGCTAAAAACTACAACTAAAGTACTTAATATTATTCTCAAGCACCATATGCTCACTTGATTATAAGTCCAATTGGCCTCCAGTGAGATGGCTTTTCAGAACCAGGTTTGCCGCTGTCTAACAATAGCCCATGCTATGCCTTTGCTGTTTACTGGTTGGCACATAAAGGACAGAATCCAGAGATTAGTCTGTATTGGCTGGTGAGGAGGCAATGGCAACACTGGTGAAGGTTGGGGAATTCCCCCCAGCAAAGACCACAGGAGGCGTACACAGCCAGCTCTAGCTAATGAATGGTTGTAATTGTAGCCCTGTGCACTAGCTAAGCATGTCAAATGTCCCAGTTCTTTTACTTCTGACACTGATGCCAGTGAGAACCTTGCTGTGGTATGAGTATTATGGACTCCACCTGGTCCAAAATGTGGCTGCCAGACTGACTGCAGGTCCTAGCAGATATGAACTCATATCGTGGCTCACCTTCATTGGCTCTCTGTTAGTTTCTCTGCCCCATTCAAGGGGCTGGCCTTGACCTACAAAGCCCTTAACAGGTTAGGGCCTCAATACTTGTTGGAATATCTCTCCTGCAAAACAGTGACCCATCCCACCCACTCCTCGCAGTCCTTGATGCTAAAAATTATAACATGTAAGGAGGCCGAAAGAGATAATGTCAGGACCTGTGTGTTTTGGGTTGTGGCCCCTTCTATCTGGAATAAGTTTCCTGCAGAACATTGTCTGACACTGCCCGTCTCAGTTTTCAGGAAGTTAATTAAAACTGAACTGTATAAAGCTGGCTTTACTAATATTTTAACTAATTGACCTGGGCAGTTCAGATTTGTTTAATTCATTTGAATGCAGGTTTTATTGATCCAGCTAGAGACAGGTTTTTTCATTGCAGTTGTTGCATTTTGTGGGTTTCTTTATATGATTGAAATTTATGGCTTGTGAACCAGCCACCCAGACAGACAGACAGACAGATAGATAACCATATAAGAGCAAGATCTCCCAGCCAAGACACCTTTATCATAGTTTAAATCTCTCAGATATAACTCTGTTTTCCCCCTTCTCCTCTTGGCTGTTGCACTCATTTCATAGAGTTATACCATGAGTCTGCCTGCTTGCTGTAGCTACACAGATTTTTAAGTGGTGGCTCCTGCCTTTACTTTGCTACAGTTACCAGGTAATATTGAATAAGCTATGCGAGAGTCTGGGTCCATGTGACTTCTGTTTGTTTCATTCAGAAATCAGTCATTATATCTTTTAAAAATACTTTCAGGATAATAATATTGTTTTAAAGTCTTCATCCAATTGACTGCACTCATTAGTATGTTTGAGTGGAAGTAAATCCTACTGTAATCAATGGGACTCTCTTATAATAGTGCCTAGTGTTGCAGCCTGAATCACTTCTGTGACTTTGAAATCCATTGGTTTTGTCTGCTGGTTTATTGTAGTTAAAATTTTATTTTCCTATATGTGCATTTCCTGTTCATAGCCTTCTTCACGTCAGGAAATTTGGGAATTGAACTAGTGATATGTTGGTCACTAGTACCTTGCAAAAGTATTCTTTAACTCCTAATATTTTGAAGACTAGAACTGTTTTTCTTTGGAAACTGAATGATGAATTCCTGTATTCTTCTGTTGTTTGTAGGCTAAAAACCTGGACTTCCGTAGGAAGTGGGACAAAGATGAGTATGAGAAACTTGCAGAGAAACGACTCACGGAAGAGAGAGAGAAGAAAGATGGTTGGTAACATGTAAACTATGGGATGGCATGATTTGTTTTATTAAGAGTCACTGAATTAGTTTGTAGAAAGTAGAAGTGCATGCAGAGGAAAAATGCAAACAGTGACAGTTGCTGAATATTTAATTCACTGTTCCTCTTCATTTCAAAAAGGAGTAAGAACCATACTACTTTCCTGATACTCATATTCCTGTTTAGCAAATAAAATGATGAAGAAAGGGTTGATCGGCTTTTAGAAAGTAAGGAGTTGGAAGAGCTAGACTTCTTAAGGAGAAGAAAAATAGTGTTTTGCAATTAAAAAGGCAATTTTAAATTTCCAGTGTTTAAAAACATTTTTAAAATCTTTCTGATTGCTCTTAAGAGATTAAATAGTTTTATGGGGAAATATATTGAAAAAGATCAAAATAGATTCATACAAGGTAGACAAATGTCAGATTTAATGAGAAGGGTGCTTAACCTAATGCATTTAGCTAAAGAAACTAACTCTAAAGCCGGAGTAATATCATTAGGCATATTTAAAGCATTTGATTCAGTGGAATGGGCCTCGTTAAAAATATTAATTAAACACTTAGGATTTGGACCTAATTTTAGGCAGGTAATTCACCAACTATACTCACAGAACACAGCCAGAGTTATAGTTAATGATGGTATAACTGAGACAATATACCTAAGGCCGAGGAACAAGAGGTTGCCCCTTATCTCCAGTATTATTCATGATGATAATAGAATTATTGGCACAGAAAATCAGAGATGATAAACAGATTATAGAGATAGAAAATAAAGAAAACCTTGTTTGCTGATGGTACATTATTAATGGTTAAAAATCCAATAGAAAAAAAAAGAAAGGCTTAAACTACATTTAAATGAATCTGAGAGTATAACTGAGTTAAAGGTAAACTGGGAAAAGTCAGAATGTTTATTGTTGAATCACTTGGATGAGAAAAGAAAAATGAAAATAATATCTGAAGGTCAAATGGGAAATGTTATGAAATACTTAGGGATTAATATTACTTGGAATTTATAGGAAATAAAATAAATTTGGATAGACTGAAAAGAGATAATTAGAAAGATAAAAGAATATCATAAATTAAAGATTTCATGGCTTGGTAGAGTAGCATTATGTAAAATGAAAATAATTCCTAAATTGAATTTTATATTTTGGATGCTTCCTATAAAAATTACAGAAAAACAACTGAAAGAATGGCAGATAATGATAAATTGCTATTGTAATGGAAATAAATGAGTGAAGATTAATAAAAAATCATGGTATGTAACACAAAAAAGGGAAGTATTGGATTACCCAATATAAAATTACAGTGGTGCCCCGCATAGCGACGATAATCCGTTCTGGATATATTGTCGCTATCCGGAAACGTCGCTATACGGGGCAGAAAACCCCATAGGAAAACACTATCAGTTTAATGTGTTCCTATGGGGGGAAAACTCACCATTAAGCAAAGATTCCCCATCCGGCCGCCATTTTCGCTGCCTCAGTAAGCGAGGGCAGGGCGCGAAAACGGAGCGGGCGGCCATTTTCTTCATCCAGCGACCATTTTGGAATCACCGATCAGCTGTTCTGCAAACATCGCAATGCGATGTTTTGCCTATTAAAACATCGCAATGCGATCGCAAAAGCGATCACAAAATCCGCATCGCTATGCGGATTCGTCGTTAAACAGTGCGCTCGTTATGCAAGGCACCACTGTATATTATATAGCAAATCAGCTTAGACATATCCCAGATATTATTAAAGGTAATAACAATTTAATCTGGACAGAAATAGAAATGGAGGGTAAAGAAGAAATAGTGGAAAGTATCTTGTTTAAACAAAAAATTGGAGAAGAGATTAAAAATATTATTAATCCATTCCTTAAAAATATGTTAGAAAATTGGAAAAAAAATTAGAGCCTTATTGAGTCCACCAATCTCCCCTTTATCTCAGGTAGTGGAGTTAAAGAATTTCCCTGAAAATCTTTTTTTTTTAAAAATTAAGAATACTGTATATTAAAAAGTAAAGGGGAAAATAGGTTAAAAGACTGGATGGAGAAGATGAGAGATGAAGAAAATATAAAAGAGGTCTTAGGAGGAGAGTGGATTTCATGGTTAAATATGATTCAATTAGAAAGGTGGACAAGGAAATGGAATAGCAAGGAAGGGAAAAGTAGAAAAATGACAAAATTTGAAGAGATTATTGAAAAAAGATTGAAATTAGAGGAAAAGATAGAAAAGGAACTGTAAGTCAAATATATAAATTATTAATGCAAGCTGAACAGGGCACACAAGGATTAAAAATGCAATGGCAATATGATTTAGATGAAGTAATAGGTAAAGAATGGGATAAAATATGAGATCAAAGAATTATGAAGAACATGTCAGTAAGGATAAAAGAAAACTTAGAAGGTAATATGGAGGTGGTATTTAATACCGGTAAAAATGAACATAATAAATAAAAATGTATTGTCACTATGTTGGAGGTGTAAAAAAGAGAAGGGGACGTATATACATATGTGGTGGTCACGTGAAGTAAGAAAGCAAGAATGGAATCAAGTCTTTAAAGAAATAACTGAAATAACTGGATTAAATATCCAAATGTCCCCGTTAATTGTTTTATTGAATTTGGTTAAGAAGGATCAATTGTTGAAAGAAAATAAGGATTTAATAGTAATAATGATTATGGCAGCAAGATTAATTTTTGCAAGAAACTGGAGAAATGATAATCAGTTTAGAGAAATGGTACAGAGAATTATGGGATATGGCAATTAATGATAAACTGACATGTGATACGAAAATAAGAAGAGGCCAATCAAAAAAATAATGATTTTAAGAAAATATGGAATGTATTTTTGGAATATGTATTTTGGAGAGGGGAGAGGTATACACCGAGAAAAGAAACAATGAATTTTTGGAGAGAAAATGGATAGAATGAAGTTTAATGCTAGCCCTGAAGGTGATGGTGGCACTGTGTGATATGTAATTGTATTTTATTTTGTGTTTTTTTTCTGTGTGGTAGTAGGTTTATATTTTGCAATTTAATAAAAATTATTTTTAAAAAACAAAATCTTTCTGATTAATGTTTCAGGCAAACCTGTACAACCTGTCAAGCGTGAACTTCTTCGGCACCGAGATTACAAGGTGGACCTGGAATCTAAATTGGGAAAAACCATTGTTATCACCAAAACAACTCCTCAGTCTGAGATGGGCGGGTGAGTTATTTAGAACTTTTACTATACTAGTTCATATGTCAATTTGGAAGAGAAGATACAACAACAGAAACATTCTGGTGTTGCTCCCTGTGTCTGGAAGTTGTGGGCAGGGGCCTGAGTGGCATCACATTACAATTGAGTCCAGACACGTTAAAGGTGATGGTAGTGGAATTGTGTCAGGGCAAGGAAAGGATAAAGGTTGTGATTGGTGTGGTGGTGATTTCCTTTCCAGAAGAGGTGAAGAACTTGGGAGACCTTTTGATTCTTCTTTTCAATAAGTAGATTGAACAGATACCACTAGTGCAGGGATGAATGAAATTGCAATCTCCAAAATCCCTGCCCTGCCAGCACCCTGCAGCCCAGGAAGGATGGATCAATCAATAAATCAATAAATACAGATCAATAAATCTGTATCTATATCTGTCTATTTAAAAAGTGGGCTGAAAAATCAGCAGGGGAGGTAGGAGATAAATTTGCCATGTTTTGAAGGGGCTTCAACAGTCTTATCATACTCTTATTCTTCATCATCCTGTTGGAATTGTAGAGTTGGAAGAGATGCACTTTTTGACCACTAGAGGGCTTTTTAAGTATCTTTTCCATTTTTGTAAAATATAGCGGGGGGAGCGGTAGATGAGACTGGGAATGGACACAGTTATCTCCATGTGTGAGGATATGTATCCACAGTCCTCTGGCGTTCACCCACCTCTTTATGAGTGCCTTCTTGCTTTATACACTGCTGTAAGAGAACCTTGCAGTGTTCATTTGCATTTCTTTATCTTCAAGCTTGACTATTGCAACATGCTATATGTGAGACTGCCCTTGAAAATAACATGGAAGCTTTTGCTAGTGCAAATGACAGCTGTGTCCCTCCTTGTAGAGGTGAGGTGTTTGCAAACATATGCAACTGTTTCCCCCCCCCTCTAAATTCAGTCACTGTCAATATGCCTCTTGAGTTTGATTCAAGACACCATATAAAATCCTACATGACATTGGTCCTACATGTGTCAGAAAGCACCTCTCTTTGTGGTGACCTCACCATGAGTTTTGACTGGCAACTTCATGCTAGTTGTGAACTCTTTTAACTAGAAGTAGGCGTTTTTTATCAACGGCTCTGAGAATGTGACACGAACCTCCTCCTTTTAGAGAATGTATGAAAAGCAGCTCTTCCAGTTAATCTTCAGTATAAGCTGGCTAGTTAATTTTGTGGGTGATCTTTGTTCTAGTTTTTGCACATTTTTGGTAATTTTTATATATTTTTAAAGAATATTTAATGACCGGTTACAATTTTAAAAGCCCAAATTTTGCTGATTATATAGAGACTGCTTACAGATCAACAGCAGAATCTCTTTAGCTGCCAAAGGAGAAATGTTTTTCAAGGTCTTAGTTAATGCTGTTGTATTTTATTAACCTTAGACAATGTGATTCTTCACATTGCTGGCACAGTGCCTTCATGTACAGTGAACTGATGAGAGGGAGGAAGGGAACAGGTATTGCCAGGAAAAAAAAAGTGTCTGGATGTTTTCCTTTCTGGCCAGTTGCCAGAAAAAGGAATGAGATGCCCTCAATTTTGTACCAGATTTTGCATTTTAGAAGCATGCCCTCATTCAGGAAACGTACTTGACCTTGACCCTCTGTACAGGCTTTGTACTGATGAACAAATCTAAAGAGCAAGAGAGAGGAATGAGCTATGACACTGAAATGTGTTGGTGCTTAAAGCTTGATTCTTCATCTTTCTTCATCTTTATATTCTCCAAGGATATTTCCTGAGTCTCAAGCCATTCCTGGTGCTTGCTTCTCTGGTTACCATAAAGAGGGCAGGGGTGAGAAAGAAGTGAATATTTTAAAAAGGTGACATCATGCCACTACCACCCTTGAGACATTTGCACAAATCTGGGTATGTCTTTTACACAATTAGCTGATAAGAAAATAGAAGTATTTTAGCTCAGCAGGAGTGTGTGCTGCACACTAAGTACTTGGTTGTATTTAATGGAGGAGTACAAGGATGGGGTGGGGTGGCACTGTGGGTTAAACTGCAGAAGCCTCTGTGCTGCAGGGTCAGAAGACCAGCAGTCGTAAGATCAAATCCACGCAATGGAGTGAGCTCCCGTCGCTTGTCCCAGCTCCTGCCAACCTAGCAGTTCGAAAGCATGTACTGTAAATGCAAGTAGATAAAAAGATACCACCTTGGTGGGAAAGTAACAGTGTCTAGTTGTGCTGGCCACGTGACCACGGAAACTATCTTCAGACAAATGCTGGCTCTATGGCTTGGAAATGGGGATGAGCATCGCGCCCTAGAGTCAGACACAACTAGATTCAATGTCAAGGGGAACCTTTACCTTTACCTTACAGGTACAGGTGTGGCAGAGACTGAGGATCCAGAAACCCTGATCCTTTTTGGGAGCATGCAAGCTCCAAGCTGAGATGGGCTTTGTGAGAGTCATTTCTATGGGCAATAATGATAAGCAATGCCTGCAAAGACAGTTGTACTTGTTCTTGACCACTTCTTGAAAGTTCAGTAATATCAACAAATGCCCTTCAGTAATATACAGCTTAAATACAGTATGTGGGGGACAGACATCTAAATTCATGTAGAATGTTTCACATGTCAAATTTAGGAACTGATCATTCATTTTGTTTATTCCAGATATTACTGTAATGTCTGTGACTGTGTAGTGAAAGATTCCATCAACTTCTTGGATCATATCAATGGCAAAAAACGTAAGAATAACTTTGTTTTTCTTTGGCAATCTGTAGAAATAGAATTTGGCTCAAATTAGAAATGGGGAAGGGAGTGAGAAAGGAGACCTTGGTTTTGTGTTAGGAAGGCAGCTGTCACAAGTTGGAAATGTGGCAGCCAACCAGGTTTATTGTGGAAAAAACAGTGTTTCCTTTGTGTGGTGAGCCATTATGTATCTAATATAATCTCATTTCTGTGCTAAGATTTATTTTTTCTCCTGTTTGCTACCACCTGCTGGATTAAGTTAGTTTATTTATATTTTATTCAATATTGTGAGGTTTGGTATTTTATTAAGTATTTACCAAGTGGTGCAGTTATTAGTTGTACAGTGGTGCCTCGCTTGACGAGGATAATTCGTTCCATTGAAATCACTGTTAAGTGAAATCCTTGTCAAGCAAAATGAAAAAACCCATTGAAATGCATTGAAACCAGTTCACTGTGTTCCAATGGGCTAAATACCTCAGCGTCCAGTGAAGATCCTCCATAGGGTGGCCATTTTCGGTTCCTGTAAAGCGACGAATCTATCCTGAAAACACAGCGGGGAGCCATTTTGCACAGCGGGCGGCCATTTTAGAGCTGCTGATCAGCTGTTTCAAATTGTTGTTTAGCGAAAAATCGATTCCCAAAGCAGGGAATCGATCATCGTTAAACGATTTTTTACCATTAAAACATAGTTTTGCAATCGCAAAAGTGATCGCAAAAACTTCATCATCAATTGGTTTCGTCGTTTAGCGAGGTAATTGTTAAGCGAGGCACCACTGTAATTGTTTCTATTGCATTTTGAAAGGGTAGATTTAATTGTTGACTGGTATTCTGTGAGATACTTTTGGCACACTTTTGTAGGAAATTGATATGTGAATAATGGACGAGGAAGAGGAAGAATGAAATGTCATTTGTGATTTTGGTGAACAAATGAAATTACTTTATTGCCATTTCTGCAGGCTCTTGGCCTGTGGGACTTGCTTGGCACACATTAATGGGTCCTTTCATTCTGTTCAATCTTGGATGAGACATGCCAGAGGATAAGCAGATATGTTTTGTCTTTTTGAGAGCTTCCTGACTCTTTCAGTGTGGAGATGATGCTCCTGGACAGCTGGTGTGAAGATCAAAAGTAGTATGCCATGAGTATTCCTCATAATACTCAGGCACAACTTTCCCTGGCCTTATGTCTTTCTCAAATACTGGAAGCAAACAAACCAGTTGCAAGCGGATCAAAAAAGACTCGCGATAGCCCAGACTGTTCCGTCACATGGCCTGTCACTGATGTGCTTCTGGTTTTCTCTATGTCTGAAAAAGATACCTGTGGATGAACTGCTATGCATTCACCCCAATAGAATGACGGAAATTACAGTTTTCACAAAGTCTAATACTGTACAGCGATGGCGAACCTATGGCACATGTGCCACAGCTGGCATGCAGAGCCCTCTGTGGGCACATGAGCCATACGTCGCTGGATCGCTACCCCCGTCAGCCAAACCTGAGGAGGCAGCTGCAGCCGCAGTGCTAGCGCCCTGATAGGTGACGGGCCAGGATCCGCAGAAGCTGGTGCTGGTGGTGGCGAGCTGGCCGGTAGTGGCAGGGTTGGACATGACTGGAAGCGTATCCAGAGTGGGGAATCCCATGCCCGGGATTCCTGCTTCCACAGCTGGTGCTGCTGCCATCCACCGCCCACTGGGTTGTGTGGTTGTTTTTTGTTTTTTGCAGTTTGGGCACTCAGGCTCCAAAAGGTTCACCATCTAATAGAAGGGCTGCAGTGTTTCTTTTGGATTACAGCTGAGCAACCTTCTTCCATATTTTCATAGTCCCAAGATTTGAGAACTGCAGTGCACTGTTCATGGGCTTTCTGTGGGAGCATATCAGTAGCAGCACATTCAATCAGTCTTCATTGGATATGTGCATCCTTGATTCTGAGGCTGTCCATAGATGTCTCTTGTTGAGTACATTTTTCTCTGAGTCTCGTCACTCCCCCAGGGCATTAGGTAAATGCGCCCAACCTATCCCTCCCTTCCTTTGATTATTTCACAGAAGACACCAAGGGACTCCTGCATTCAAAGCAAGGATTCTACCCCTGAGTTATGGCCCTTCCCTTCTGGTTTCCTGCAATGTTTCAGGCACAATTTATGGTTTAGGTTTTAAAGGATAAAGGTGCCTTGCAGCTCTTTGTTGAACAAGTGGTTCTTTGCGCCTTTCCTCCCCTCTACCACTGTAGCTGCTTTTCCTATACCCAAAAGGACTCATTCCCCTTCACCCAAGTGGAAAGCTGAGCATACGTACATACCTCTCTTTGCTTGCTTTTCTTAGGCTAGGAAAGAAGCAGCAGTTATTGAATTGCGTTTTAAATACATTGCTTTGATCCTTTGTTTAATGAGGAAAGTGCATTCTTTGTTGACTTTATCTTTCGGTTCTCCTTATCAGCCATACTGAAAAGGTAATGGCTGTTTCCTTGGGACACTCGATAACCAACTAGAAGTTTGGAAGCTATACTGGCTTTTGTTTTATGCCCTTGTCATCAACACCACCTTGCTTTTAAGAGTTCTAAAATCTTGATAGCCATAACAAAGTGAAATGTCACTGAGTTCCCTGGTTCATTCATCCTCCTTATCTAAACTCCCTTTCTTACTTGATCTTACAGTGGTTGTGTATGACAACCAGGCAGATAGTGGTTGCTTAAACTGCTATGAAGGGAATCTTCTTCTGTGTGGCTTTCTTAATTTGCTGCACTTCACTGTCTGCATAAAACTGGGCTGTAGTTCCTCTGAACTCCCCTGAATACGATGCTGTGTTATTGGCTGTTGCACATGAGCAGCATGGCTTGTAAAAACCAACTTCATGTAATGTTTTGAAAGCACACACCAAGTGGTGGTGGTGGTGAACTGTAGCACTCCCCTGGGAAACTAGAAAACCAAAAACGTTTTTCCCAACCAGCGGAACTCTTAATAGTATTTTTTCCCAACCAGCGGAACTCTTAATAGTATTTTTGCTGGTGTTAGTTGCTTTCTGTTGTATGTGTTCAATTGTTATCTTGGATACAGTTCAGGATGATTGGATGATACTTCTCACCAATCCCTTTCATTCCTCTCTCTTTATAAAGTCATGCAAGGCCTCTTGCCTGCGCTGCTCACCTTGCAAAGAGGGCCTGTACGACCACAGCAGGTACATGCCAAGCAACAAGTTAGATGACTGGAGTCCTGACTTCATCTCAGCAGCATCTTCCGGTTTCCCTCCTGCGCCAGCCTTTACTCCTGTCTGGATCCGTTAGCCAGGATCCAGACGGATTCTTTCTCCACATAACCACATAATACCACATAACCTGGATGATGAATACAATTTTCTATTTTTTTTTAGTTTTTTATGTGCTTGCCTTTGTTTTGCTTTTTCCTAAATAAATCTTTTTATGCAATTCTGTTTTCCTTTAGATGTACTGAAGGCTCCATCCCTTACAAAACCTGCCAGTTACATATTTTGTATTACTTCCATAAACATACAGTGGAGTTTCATTCAGTGCAGTTAAACTTCCTTTTCTCTATTAAGGAGGACACAAATGCAGATTTTATATCCTGATCCTTTTTCTCTTTTTTCTAGTCATTTTTTTCTAGTACATTTGCAGATTATAGCAGAGGTGGGGAGCATCATTGGGAGTAGTATTTAATAACTCCTTTCCCAGAAAGTCCTCTTTGAGTTTGGTTGGTGTCAGGGAGTGTTATTCCTCATGAGCCGTTTTTGCTCTTTCTTTCTCCAGAGAGCTCTGTGTTTAAAGCCACACTGACTCAAGCACAAGCTGCAGATGTATCCTTGTGATATAGAGCAGACTAGGTGAACGTTGTCTATATGGCTACCTTTGATTGCTGTTTTTTTGCATCTCCTCAGTTGTGCCACTGGTCCTGTTTGGCATGGGGAGGATAATCAAGCTGTTTTCTCTGGTCAGTGATTGAAAATAAGAATGCGATCCCCTGCCCACACCTTGTCTTTTCATTTATTGCTCCCTGCAGAGCAATTTCCCTGCTTTGAAGCAGCTTGACAAAGGGTCAAGGAGCCTCCTTAGGCATCCAGCAGATTGGATGGAAAATCTCCCAAGGCTGTAATAGGCCAGAGGTTCCCTTCTCCTTGAGTAAAGGCTGATGCCCTAACGTTGCTCTCAGCATGAAAGGCAAAGCATCTAACAAAAAAAGGAAGAATCAAGAAGGCCTACGTGATTATACCTCATGCTTAGATGGCGTAGCATGCATATCATAATTAGCTTCATCAGATTCCGACAGACCTAGAGGGAAGAAGCAGATAGAGTATGAGTTGTTCATTACCAGTTTCTGGGAGTTACAAGTCCAGCAGGCAAGGTTGGCCTCATACCACTTCAGGCATGCAGCATATGAATTTCTTCATTGTTATCACTCAGAGTGTTCTGAGATGCTTCTTTTTACGGAAGTCCTCCCTGCAGATTTGGAAAGGATGTCATTGCTAGTCCAAGAGGCTTAGAGATGGTCCTGAAATGTTACAAGCACCAGTCACTAGGGACACAATCTTAATTTGTTATGCATGGTTAAATATTGGCTAGGCTGATGATGGAAGTAATCAGGAAGAGAGAAAGGCAGAAGATACTTATTTCGCTTCTTCCCTGCTGTGTCAGTCAAGCCTCAACACTGAATAGACTATTAATTAAGAGCTTGGTGATCATGATTACTTATTCCTTTGAAATTAACTCTTTCTCAGAGTAACCTCCGGAGTAAGCGTTATCTGTCCCTACAAAAATGTGCCTGGGCTTTGGTTCAAAAAACTGACAATGTCATTGTACAGAAGAGCATATTTCAAAAAATCATTTCCCACATTGTCACAATAGCCTAGCGATGAAAATGGTTTCCAACAAGTAGCTGCTGCACTGCCTGTAGGCGTTGGAAATTGGGACTGTTGTGAAGAGAGATGTTGAGATAATATGAAGCTAAGGATCCATAGAAATATAGTATGTGCTCCAAAACAGAACAAAGGGTTCAGTTTGGCTGCTGAAAATGCTGGGAAAATTTCTGAGGCTACACTAAAACATTCTTGCTGGTCCCCACCTTTTCTAGATCAGAGGAACCTGGGCATGTCCATGAGAGTAGAGCGCTCCACGCTGGATCAAGTGAAAAAACGCTTTGAGGTGAACAAGAAAAAGATGGAGGAGAAACAGAAGGATTATGACTTTGAGGAAAGGATGAAGGAACTCAGAGAAGAGGTAAAGGGCTGCTGAGAACTGAAACAATTGGATATGGCTTAAAAGAAACAGCACTTAAAGTTCGTAAGCATTCTGTGGTAATGAAGTTGCTAGGGCATTTTGCCTGGTAAAAAAATGGGAGCCCTGCAGGTTCTTTTTTCACTGGTCCAGCATCTCTGAAATGGTATCTGCCTGTGATCCCACATCTTGGTGCCAAAATCATTTTGTCCATTGTCGTGAAATGGTATCTTGCCTGGCTGCTCTTGAGTACTTAGACAGATCTAAACTGCTTGGGAAATATTTCCTTGTGCTGATCTCTTCAGTGCCAAACTGGCCTGCAGGTGGCATTAAAGTTTTTTCCTATTGTTGTTCATTCCATCTGCATCAACTTTATGAGGGTGTTTAGGAAGAATTTCCAGTAGTTGTGGGAAACACGGTAGTGCTTTCCTTAGCTACATGCGGTTTTCAGAATCAGAATGAATCATTTGTTTATTTTAATTATTAAATGCATGTATATTTGCATATTTTATTCAGGTTATAGAGAACTACCCTTTTTTAAACAAAAAAAACTAACATTTTGTCCATGTCCTAGTGAAGGACACAGAAATATTCTCCTCAGTCTTACAGTATTAATATTCCACCTTTAGCCATATGTACTCTTTGTGTATATCTATACATATTTGAACCCCCAAAAGTTCAAGCTGTGCATCTGGGGAAGGGAGCTATATATGTCCATGAAAGCTGGTGCTATAAGAAGTCTGTTAAAGGTGTTACACTCTTCCACAGATATGAAACTTGCATAGATATGACAGACCACCTTTTGTAGGAAAGGCAGCCTGGGGAGCTATCATATACTCCTAGCAATACTCCCAGAAGAATAACTGGGCAATGCCTGGTTTTGGTAGCAGTTCTTGATGAAATCCCTACAGCTTTCCTTCCATACTTACTGTCTGTCCTGTTGAAGGTGAGGACAACTCATTGCTCACCAGCTTTGGAAAAAGAAATGGCAGTTTCACATGGGGAAGCCAGACGCAGTTTTTAAAAAGCTCAATAGATTTTCTCATATCAAGTCAAGGTTTGAATTTCTCAACATTTGTGGATGGCGGCTGTGGAGGAGACCTCTGATGCCCCTGCATGTTGAGCGGGTGTGCAAACAGAAGAGTCCTTTCAGCTGTAGCAGCCTCAGCAGCTGCCAAAGAGTCAGTAGCTGAAGTCACACTTCTGCATCCCCCAACACAAGCCTGGCACCATTCCAGGCCTCGCAATCTCACAGAACGAAACATTTTGATTAGAGCTGTGGAAACCCTTTGATGCCAAAACCCCCCAAAGCCACTAGGAACACAGCTTATGTTCCACTGAGCAGCTGTCACTCGGCTGTTCCAACAGCCATCAGATACTGACATTGTCTGTCGCCATCGTTCAGCACCACAGTTGTTGAATCAGGGCATCAGAATTTGTGTCTATTGCTTTAAAAGCAAAGCTGCATTTTTACCACTGTTAATTTCTAATGAAGTCTTTGGCATTTGTTTCATGGCAGATGCTGATAGTTGTTGGATGATCTAGTACAATCTTTTTTTTTGTTTTTGTTTTTTGCATGGGGCGTGTGTGTATGTGTGTGTGTGTGTGTGTGTGTGTGTATGAGTGTCTTTGGACTGCTGCCTTTCCACTGTTCCTCCGGGATAAAGCAGAGGAGCCAGCAGCCATTTCTCTTCTACCCATTGTTTGTTCTTTAGACCAGAAAGAATGTCGTCTCTGTGGCCTGATTTCTGAGGTTGTGTCTTGCCATTCTAAGACTTCAGTTCTGCAGGTCGGGTTGATTCATTTGGCAGTTGTTTTCCTTTGTTGCAGGAAGAAAAAGCTAAAGCATACAAAAAAGAAAAACAGAGGGAGAAGAAAAGAAGGGCCGAGGAAGACTTGGCATTTGAGGAGGAGGATGAAATGGCAGCTGTAATGGGCTTCTCTGGCTTTGGCTCAACCAAGAAAAGCCACTGATTAGCCTGGAACTTTCCTGTGGATGTCTGTTGTTTCTGCCCAAGTGATGCGTGGAAAAACCCTTGGAAGACTTTACAGAGAATTTGTATCTGAAAGTCCTGGTAGAAGTTGACTCTGAGAGTCAGGCAGCAAGTCCACAACTCCTGTGTGGGGCTGTACTGGGCTTTTCCATCTCTAGTATCCTGCCTGCCTGCCTGCCTGCACAGATAGGATCACATTTGCCTGTATGGTGGTAAACCTGAATATCAAATAAAGAACTTTGTATTAGCATCTTCCCTCCCTTAATCTCCTTACAGTACTTTGAGATAAACCAATTTTCAGGATTTCTTATTTGTGTTTTTTAAATCTGTTTCTTTAATGGAGCATGAAGCTGAATGTCCTTTCAGAACTCCACATTTCTTGGCCTCACTTGCTGCTGTCGCTGCCATTTCTTTCTTTACCCTTAGTCCTGCTTGCTTCTCATTTTGTGTCCTTGTGTGCATGAGGGACTTTCTATTGGGTAATTTTTTTTCTCTTAATAAAGTGATAAAAATCTGATGTGTGTGTTTCTTTGGGAATTGTTCTTTCACCGATAAAATGGCTGTGGAGTGGGTCATTCAGTTACATTGAGCTGGAGCATGTTATCTTTGAAGAACCATGGGAGTTTATTATAACTCCGATAGCTGAGCATGGAGCTGTTTGCAGTCTGAACTCGTTGAAATGTCTCCAGTGTATTATTTACAAGGGTGAGAGTCCTGCTTTCCCCACCCCCCTCTCAGAGATACAGGCAGGGGATGAATTTTGCCAATACAGTATCCTATTGAGCTTCTGATTAGCACGAAGTCCCACCAGTGTTCTAATGGAGGATTGTGCTGCTTTCACAAGGCTTGTCATTGCGCAACTGATCGGTGGGGTTTTTTCCCCCATGGAGATTGCCCATGGTGCAACACTTGGGCAAGCAGCATCTTATATCATTACATTGGTGGGACTTTCAACTCAGCAGAAGTGCAATAGGATGTTGGCTGTTGAGTTGCTGGGGAGGGGAAGGGATGTTTCTGTCTGGTCCTGCTAATGTGGGAAAATGGATGATGGATATGATAATTGTAAGAAGTAGAAAACAGGTATTCTACATGGAGAACCAGGATCCTCTCAACAGGAGTACATGACCTTGGTGGATGTGCATGCTTCCTTGCCGAAAATCTCCAGTTTAAAAACAATTTCCAAGGTTAAAACAATGAATTCTTTTGGCTTAACACCCATATTGAGAATGAATCCCTGATGAGCCTTTCTCTGCCTCCCCTGCTTTCCTTCTGCTAAACTAGGAATGATCTCTTAGTATCTAACTGTAATGAATGCACATCCCTAAATTTTATTGAAGCAGGTAAGAGCTTGGTAGAGAGGGGCGGAGCTGCCTTCCCATCGTGATTCAGGTTGGCGGAGTATTATCTGTACTGCTCCAGCTGCTCTTTGTGCCCCGTGTCATTTTCATTGCTTTCTTGATTTAGTTCTGCCAAACCCGCCGTGACTCATTCATTGCCTTTCTCGGTTTAGGACGATTTACATCTGGTGTGGCTGATTTTCATAGTGCCTTCCTTTTTATATTGATGGGATCATTGTTCTTGCCTTTCTCTGTACCTTTATGGAATATTGAGCCTTCTTTCAAATACATGTAGAATAAATCCTATCGTGCTTTGCTGCTGTTTTAATTCCTTAATCTTAGACTGCTGACAGCTTCATTGCCTCAGATATTTCCACTTGAATTCAGATTATAATCCCCATTGAAGATGCCATTGAAATGATACATAGCCTGTAGCTCTGCCAGCTGAGATACAAATGTCCTTGGAGAGTTGACCCTTTAAACTAAAAAAAATCCTTTTAATGTGCCTTAGATTCCTTCTGTGCACCAAATAGAAATGAGCATTTAATTCCAACCACGTACCTGTCCCTGTTCAAACCAAAAGAGTAAACTCCATTTGAATGTGTGAGAGAAATGAAGCCAGTGACTAAATATCCTACAAGATTTGAAGAGAGGAGGGGGTGCAGAGAATGAAGTGAGATTACAGTGCCGCATAGCTCCTTTCATGGCCATTAAAAGTTTGGTACATTTTAGATTATTTTACCCTAGGTAGCAGCTTTGTAGCTGCTGAAAATCCCCAGTTAAGGAATGTGCATTCCTAGCCCTCTTATCCTGTATAGACATATTTACAAATTGCTCATTATTGCACATTGAACTAATTGAGTTTGGTTAGTGTTGATGAAAAATGGTATGGTCCAATGGATCCCTGATGGAAGTGGGCACTGGGACCTGCTGTGCCCTAATCACAAGTTCTTAGTGTGATCTTGCCAATGTGATCTTTGGAGTTAGTCGCTCCCATTTTACTTTCTCTTCTAGAGCTGTAAGCTACTGTTGCTGGGGGCATGCCTAGGACTGCTGCAATGATAGGCAGTCTTCAGTTCCCCCCTCGCCCTTATTCTTTGAGGGCGTGAAATGTGCTGTCTTTAGTGAAGATGTGATGGGGTTTTTATCAATGGCTACTTGCCAAGATGACTGTATATGACAATGGTTCCCAACCTTGGGTCCCCAGATATTCTTGGATTCGAACTCCCAGAAACCTTCACCACTAGCTATGCTGACCAGGATTTTTGGGAGTTGTAGTCCAAGAACATCTGCGGACCCAAAGTTGGGAAGCATTGGCAGATGACCTCCAGTATAAAGCAATATGCCTCTGTATGTCAGTTACTGGAGAATAGGAGCAAGAGGGTGCTACTGTACTCCTGTCCTGCTGGGAGACTTCTCATAGCCATCTCGTTGACCACTTTAGGAACAGAATGCTGGAATAGGTTTACAACATAATTATACAAACAACAACTTGCCCCTTAGCATAGAAGGCTGAGTCAGTCTTGAACTGGTTACTTGAACCCATCAGGATCGAATTCAGATTGTGAGCAGAGGCCTGATGGCAGTACCGCAATTTAACCACTGTGCCATGGGGCTCCATCATTGCCTTTTAGTCATAGTACATGGCCCCTGTACTAGGACAAAGCATAAGCACCAAATACTGTAGCATAGCAGGTTTTTGATTAGTTACATTTATATCCCTTCTAGTTTTAGCTGCATTTATATCCCACTTTTTCTTGAGTGAGCTCCAAATGGCTTTCCTCACAACAACGCTGTGAATGTGGTTGAGTGAACATGGCTGGCCAAGGTCGCCCAAGGAGTTCGTGGGGATTTGAAGCCAGGTCTCCAGAGTTCTCATCCAACATTTGAACATACTGTGCTGGCTTTCTTGATGATTTGGTTTCTTGATAGTCAGTTGGATTAGAGGAAACATTTGCATCTCATACAGTATAATCATGTTGGCATTTAGTAAGAATACTGGTTTAATGGGAAGGAATGTACTTGTTCAACAAACTACAGCTTCATGGTAGCTGCAGCACACGTGCGCACGCACACACACACACACTCCCAATTCTTCATTAAAAGCCTTTTACCTAAATTCCAGCCTAAGGGCATCTTCCTCCATGGGGCTTCCTCAGCATCCGCCTGTACATGCCAATATTTCCGCCTGCCTCTCCTGTCCCAGTACAGGGGCCTTGCTTTCCGGGGTGGGGCAAGGAGAGGGGGGAGTCTCTTTGTCTTGGTTACTTGCTGGGAGCAGTGGAGTGTGTAGTGGCAGAGATACAGACTCCTGCTGGATTCCCAGCAGCAGGAGCTGCCTCCAGCCAAGGATGAAAAGCCAGTTTCATGGGAGGAAATAATATTTAGAAAAGAGAGCAAGAGAGAGAATGCTTCCTGCAAAGAGCATTAACCCTTTGCTCCCCTGTGCAGATTGACAGAAGTGTTAACTCTGTTTTCTATTCCTGAAACAGCCTTTTGTTCTCTGCTGTCCCCAGCTTTATTGCATATACTGAACACGGCTAGTAACACTGCTGTTTGCTGTCCTTGGCATGCCTGTGCCCCTATGCTGCCCCTTCCCAATTTTGGCCCAGCATTCTTCAAAGACTAGCGGGGTGGTCACCCTATGCCTGCAATTCTGGCTGAATTGATCCTGTCCCATGTATGCTAAATGTTACTGTGGGTCTCCCCCTGCTTTCGTTAGCTGTGCACGAGGCACAATGGGGGTCCTGGGCATGGCATACTGTCTCAGTTGTAGGGACAACGTTTTGCTGTAAAATCTCCAGATCACATAAAGTCAGCATGTGCTGGTGGTGTTGCCCAGCAGGCAGTTGAAGATGGGTTGCATCTGAATATGGAAGTCATTATGGTCATTCATTATACCAAGGACAGCTGGCTCGATAGCTCAGTGGTTTAGGTATGGAGCCAGAGGCTGGGAGTTCAATTTTCCACTGTGCATCCCAAAAGAGCCAGCTGGTGCAACCCATGGGCAAGCTGCATAGTCCCAGGATGCCTCCAGAAGAAGGGAATGGTAATCCACTTTTGAATATTGTATTCTCTTCCTGGAAAATCCTGGAAAAGGTCACCGTAAGTCAAAATTGACGTGTCACCACATGATTATTATTATTGTATCAAGGAAGGTGTTCAATGCTGTCCCTGCAGTCTAGCACATGTGTGTGATGTGCGCCATCAAGTCGCACATGGCTTATAGTGACCCAAATAGGGCTTTCAAGGTAAGTTAGATGTTCAAGGTGTGCTTTTACTAGTTCCATCCGCCACCCATGTGAGTTTCCATGGCTAAAAGGAGATTTGAATCCAGGTCTCCTTAATTCTAGACCATCAATCTGTCCATTATACCCCACTGGGTATCCCATCCTGGTATAAAGGCAAGAAATAACTTCCAAGTTTCAGGCAGTGGCCTGCTAGCTGAGATCCTGGGCCCACTCCTCTCTCACAGGTACACAAAGCTCTGCATCTGAGCCATAGACCTCTTCCCAGAGAATAGTATGAACTCTGTCCTTTCCTTTCACCTGTCTCACCCAGCCTTATCTACCCACATTGGTGCCTCTATTCCCAGTGCTGGTCCAGAGGTCCTTTTTTCCAGCTGTTGTGCCTGAAATGCTTTAGCTCCAGAAATGGGGTTATAGAAAGGCTTGGTGGGTGATTTTGAGAGCCTGTAGACATTTTCATTTCTTCTGGAAGTTCAGCTTTCTTTACTGTAAGTAATGGTAGTGCTGAGTTAGCTATCATCTCTCCTGGGGAAAAATAAATAAACAGGGAAATCTATACTTTAGAAACAAAACATTTAACTAGGTTGTGATTTTTTGTTATGTTGGGGCCCACTCCTGCTTTTACATAGATAATTGTTTGGTGACTGGTTCAGCTTTAGAGAGTAACATTGTGGTATCCATGGTCTAGAGAGCAATGCAGGGAACAGACTTTGGAGGCATGAGGATGGAGCAGACCCTAGTGTAAGCAGCCAAAGACTTAAGATTGCTCAGTGCAGCTGAGGGATTTCGGTGGGATGCAAGAGTCAATTGCATAAGCCAATTGCCCGCAGCTGGGTGGGAGGCTGTTGCAAAAATGATTAATTTTGCCTTCTCAATCTGTGATGCCTCTGACTGGCCAGCGTGGGATATAAGAGAGGGGTAGTGCCATTTCA